GGGAGTCTGAATACAGGACAAACTTTTTAGATTTTAGATTTACTCTTAGAAGATACTGAAAATCCATGTCATTTTCCTTCCAAGCTAAAAAAAAAAAATTGCGCACTGCTTTGTGTTGGCAATTTAAAATCCAAATGAAATATTGTTTGTGGTTATGGTGTAAGAAAATACTGAACAGTATATAGGCCTCAAGGTTTTGCTCAGGTTGGATGGGAACTAAATGGGCCTGATTTTAATGAGCTACCATGGGACCAGAGTGGGTTTTGCTACATACAACCAATCCAGGTCATCGTTTCTCAAATGGGTTGTCCACTAAGAAAAACACTTTGGCAGGAAAAGTTGTCCTACATCAAAGCTAATGTAGGCAGTCAACATAGGTCTGTTGTGCAACCAAGGGACAAACCTATCAGTGACTTACTTTTCATACTACACTCCACTCATATGTAAAAATGTATGTGCCCTTACCTGGAAAATACAGCTGTCTATATGTCTATATATATATATATATATATATACTGCTCAAAAAAATAACGGGAACATTTCACTTTAATTTTGTGTGGCTCCAAATCCAGGCCTCCATTGGTTAATAAATTTGATTTCCATTGATGATTTGTGTGTGATTTTGTTGTCAGCACATTCAACTTTGTACAGAACAAAGTATTCAATGAGAATATTTCATTCATTCAGATCTAGGATGTGTTATTTGAATGTTCCCTTCATTTTTTTGAGCAGTATGTATATATATATATATACATACATATATATAAAAATCATGATCCCAGTTTGAAAACAGAATATTGCTTTTCTAAACACCCAGCAGACCTGGACACCTACAAAACCTTCTCTTTTTAATAGCCAATTCTCACATGGATTGAGAAACTGTAATCAATATTAAATAAAAAGTTATATCAAGACTTAACACAGGCTTTTGTCATGGTGCAAAATTCAGATTTAAATGACAATTTTTACTTTATTACTCGATTCACTTGATTACCAGTGGGTGGAGCTATTGCACAGCAATGCTTTGCTACTTTTAAAATTTTACCTTGTTTAATACGTTTAGATAAACAGGTTGATGGACTGAAACGTTGGAGTGTAACCAGTAATACGGCAGTAGACCGTCCATCCACATTTTTTTTTTTTTTTTTGCAAAGTTGTAAAACAAGTTTGTGGTTTAAGGGCGAGGCTCTTTGGCATCTTGGGTCTTCATTTGGGTTGTCATAAACCAGCGTTTATCTCCTTGCATGTTAAGAAATTATCCCCAAAAATGCTGAATAATTTGCTCAGGAAGTAGGATACTTTTCAGAAGCAGGCAGTGGATTTTTATATCTTCCAAGTGGGTTGTAGCAAACTTTCTTCCACTTTCAAAGACCAGTTTGAAAATGAAACATGTAACCATTAGTGATCCTGTCAAAATATCGTCTGCATTTCTGGTCAATCTGGTCTAAGTGTGTTTAAGGTTAAGACTAAGGTAAATTGATAAGAACTGAAAAACAAACTTTATGCTTAATGGATTTCTGCTCTAATTTCCATGAGCATATTGGGGGTGGACTACATTTATTTTTAATTGGCGCCAAAGGAGTTTAACAACCTTGACATCAGATCTGCAAAAGCTCGATTTATTTTAAAAAGGCTACAGCAAAGAGAAGCACAAGAGAGACACGACACACTGGGAGAGGGGAGGGTGGTCCATAAAATGTCTGTACAACACCGGACGAGCACAAAACAGACAAAGACACACAGTCCATATTAGGGGAAATGGTTTAATTTCGAGACAGAGGCAAAGAAACACACCACACAAACGAACACTGATCAAAACAAAACAAAAAAAAAAGAAAGAAAAGAAAATTTAAAACAATCTTCCAGCTACACACTCCGCTATGGTGGGAAGGAAAACAAAAAAACCACACAAGTAAAAAGCAAAGCTTTAAACTAAACACGCAACTTTTTTTTTTTTTTTTAACTAAGACAATTATCCACACAAGTTGTCAAAAAAATCCTGACCATTAAATTATGTGGAACGCACAATCACCAACATGAAACTTACCACGATTTAGAGGATCCCAACCCTCCCCCGAAACTAATTAACGAAGTGAGGACCATGTAGAGATCCGAGTAAAAATCAAACTCAGGCATCTTTTTAGAGGCTAAAGCAGGACAAAATAAAATAAAAATCAAAGCCAAAGGCCAAACTCAAGACCTGGTCAAGGCAAGGCCACATTGAGAGGCCAGACATGTTTGTTTTTTTATTCTTTTCAATATAGATGGGTTTTTTTTTTTTTTCCTTTTCCTTTAATTTCCAATATAAAAAGCTTCACTGGTACAAAATACATATGAACAACCAGTTGTAGAAATCGGGACAGCCTGTATACGTCTTTTTTTTTTAATCCCACCCTCTTTCCAAAAGTTTGGACAGAAATAAACTCTACTGTGTGTATAATACAGCTCACATCAAGATGCACTCACTTTGGCTTTCCTCGAGACGAGACATCGATTAAATTATTGGTGGAACATGAATAAAGTCCTACTGATTAGTAGACAAGAAAATAAGGTTGTTTTTTTTACTTGTTTTTCCCCCCAGATCAACACATCTACAGAGATGCAAAGCTACCCACACACAAGGAAAAAAAAGAAAAGCACTTCAAAATGAGAAACAAGAGTCAAAGTGATTGTTAGAGCTGATGGAGATTTGAGATGGAAGCCCCTGAAGTGAGTCCAGTTCCTGTTGGGACTGCTCTGACTAGACATTGTGCTTTTTTTATTATTATTTTTTAACTAACACACCATGAACTACTTTGGGAAACACCTGCGACCTAATCGTCTTAACATGTGACCCCCCAGCTTGCTTTTCAACTTCAACCTCCCCCCCCTGGGAAAAAATAAAAAACAAAATCCAAAAACCAGATGATCACAACAGAGTTGGCATCACGAAGTGTTTCAATACGCACTGAGACGCTTAACCTTCAAATGTATTGGGAAGTTTATTGTTTATCTACATTTTCTTTTCTTAAAAACCAACTGTTCAAATCGAGTACATCACAAAACACATTTACCAATAACGCAGCACAGAGAAAGGGGGAGAGAGAGGGGAAGGGGGGAAAGTGGGGACATTAGCAGGTAACAAAGAGCTTTATGACACTGGCATTAACAGACCAGAAAAAAAAAAATTAAATGGAAAAAAGGCAAACTGCAGCAACCTCTATACCAAGGCCTAATAACAATGTGTAGGCAGTTTCTAGACATATATTTATATATGGCACTTTGAATATTGTATTGCATTTGGATAGAAAAAACACTGTAAAAAGCACATGCCCATATTAAAAGAGAAATCAGTGGTACCTTGAAAATTTTGGATCAAAATCACACACACTCACCACATTCTGTCAAAGTGTTTAGCTCCCACAATTGTGCTTCACATTTCCTTACAAAACTAGACCACTTTTCTTGAGCGCTGTTGCAAATTTGGTATTTTTTTTAATATATATATTTTTGGGTTATAATAAAAGGAAAACATAAAAAAAAAAAAATCCTAACTTAAAAAGATTCAAAAATGGTGAGAAAAGTGTGCATTTTGTGTCGTAATCCTGCGCGTTGAAGTTTTAAACACATAAAAACCCCTGAGTTGACAACTCTTTAGCGCCACCAGGTAAGCAGTTTGTTTAGGAACCTTTTTTTTTTTTTTTTTTTTTTTAAGGGGTGGAGGGTGGGTGAAGTGGTTATTTTTTATTGTTTTTTTTTGTTTGTTTTTTTTTTAGCAGGGTTGTTTTAACAATGTGTAGCACAAGAGAGAAAATTTCACCCTGATAAAAAGTGTAAACTTGGTGCAGAATAATGGAATGTATTTGTATCCCAACACTAAAGTGGTGGAGCTTTTCAAATGTGCCATGCGAGAAACAAAACAAAACAAATCAAACCGGCAAACAGGGTTAGATAAAAAGCAAAACATGTGTCTAAAATGTGCAGAGACCCACAGGTTGTGTTTTTGTCCAAGTGATCTCCTCTTCAGGGGCTCCCACTGATGCAACCACATTAAGTGTTGCGTGTGTGTTTGTGTGTGTAAATAAAAACTAGATATTACAGCAAATAAACCCCCCAAAAAAGTTGTGTATTCAAAAACAAAGAGTTTGACACATGGGCACTTCAACAACCAAAAAAAAAAAAATAATAATAATAATAATAAAAAAAAATATGAAAACAACATTGTCCATGGATGATTAACAGACAATGTAAATCATTTTTCAAACATGAGGCAATCCAAACTAAACCAAAGTGAAACATCCATCGATTAAGTTAGTAATGGAAAAAAAAAAAATTCACAGAGTCAACAAGACGTACCTTTGAAGTCGAACACTTTATATAACAGGAAAAGAAAAATTAAAATAAAATTAGCCTCAAAATTTGACCCTTAAAATTCTTAAACCAGATGTCATTTTTAATTAAACCAGAATTTTACTAAATTTACTACAAATGACCCGCAAATGGTCATCAAACTCAAATTTTAGTCCTTTTTTTTTTAAGAGAGGGAAAAAAAAGACTAATAAACTGAAAACACTCCCTCCCCCTCCCCAACATAGATGACAATACAACAAAAATCTACAAAAAACCCAAAGTTGTGCCTGGGTTGTTAGTTAAACCTCTATAGATTCAATGGTACAAAATATAGGTAATCTAAGTGTGCATTTAAACCACAGATTGTCTATTTGTGAATCAGTTCTAAAAAAGTTGACTCATGTAGGTAGTCATTTCTCTCAGCAGAGCAAATGTACCTTTTATTGTGCCATTGATAGTTTAATAAAAAGGTAAATACACTCATTTTTTTTGTAAATGGAAAAAAAAGAAAATATTTTAAATAGCCTTGATGTAAATCGTCACACTGCCCACATAATGTAGAGATCGAAACGGATCGCCAAGAGCGACTTTTACTGGTCAGACTGAAAAAATGTTGGAAAAGTGGTCTGTAGGATCGCTTTTTTTTTGTTTTTGTTTTTTTTTTTTGTTTGTTTTTTTCCTTTAAGAAGCCAAAATATTGCTAATGGCACCAAATGGCACATATGTGTGCCAATCCCTGTATTCAACTTTCAAGTGAACTATTACTGAGAGAGGTAAAAAGAAAATACATAGCTAAATTAAAAATTAGAAATCCCACAGGTTTTTAAAATATTAACAGGAAAAAAAGAAAAAACATCTCTTCAATGAAATCATTGCAGCTAAGTTTTCACATTAATATGCTTGACCTCTCTCCTGCCCGTCACATTTTCTTATAGAAAAAAAAAAAATAAAGCGAAAAAAAAATCAAAAAAAAAAAAAAAAAAAAAAAAAAAAACATGATCATACATGCAGAAAAATCAGGTTGAGCTAAGGTCAGGGTCAGTGGGTGGCCGGGTATTGGTCAGGCGAGCTTAGAGAGACATCACAGACAATGGTGGGATGATGAGGCCAGGGAGAGGGAGTTTGGCTTGGCTTTCAACATCATGAAGACATGCTAGGCTAATGATGAGCAAACAGGCATGGAGATTTGTTCTAAAAAAGGAACAAAAACACGAAGAGAGAGGGAGAGAGAGAGAGAGAGGAGAGACAGGACAAAGAGGAGAGAAGAGAAAGTTAGGGGCACAGCACAAGAAATTTTTTTAAGCCATGAGGCACAATCAACAACAAAAAAAATAATGCAAGTCACCACGTAACAGCAAGGACAGCAGGGTAAACACGTCCCCCCCACCCCTCTCTCCCGACACACAAAAAAACACAACACACCGATTTACAGAAGTGACACCACTAGGACTTATGGCAGACTCTGACATGCACATACTTTTATACTTGGCACCGAAAGAGATCCATCTAGACCCCAGTCCCTTGTGGGAGACTTGGAGGATGGATGGAATGACTGGAGGAGGTTGTTAATAGAGGGGGGGGAAAATAGAGGTAGCCTAGCTTAAAATGGCTTAGACAATGAATGTAAACAGACAAAAAAAAACAGAAGAGGGGAAACGGAAAAGACTGCTAGATATTCACGACGACACGACATGAGACAGACTACAGATGAGAAGTGAAAAGCAGGTTGAAGCTCTGGCTCAGGGTCTGTGCGGCCTCGCTTCAGCCCTTCAACAACAACAACTGATCCTTAGTCAACCTGGCTCACTTGACCTGAAGGCAATGAAGTGGCATGGAAACACATCTGATGCTCTCCACTAAATACAGTGACACAAAATACCTCCAGCAAACACTGACTCCAGTGATAGTCATAAATAATCATATACATTAAAATATTTCAGACTCAAAAGTACATAATAAAAACCGCAGGAATGAAATACAGCAAAAAACGTGGAGAGATCTTAGCAACCTTTTTTTTTCTCGTTTGTTTTTCTTTTCGTTTAAGGAAAAGGGTGAGTCTTCCTCCCGTGGTGGGCTCCTGTCCCCTTTGACCCCCCCTGAGTCTCTGCTGTGGTGACCTTGGCAGGAGGGTGAACTTACCCTAGCAGTGCTAGAACTGAGCTGGGGAGGGGGCTAGGGCGGAGGCCCCAGGCAAGGATCAGTAGGGTTTGCTGTCGTTCTTGGAGCGCTTCAGCTGAACCTTCAGCCTCTTCATGCCGATCTGGAAACCGTTCATGGCCTGAATGGCAGCCTGCGCGGAGACAGGATTGTCATAGCTGACGAACCCTAAAAAAGAAAATAAACAACAAACACGCGTTAAAAGCTCATGTGATCACTGAACACGGTGCTGTTTGGCATCAATAGTTGCATCTGTACTGTGGTTAACCATAAAGTTATTCTGAGGAGGATTAAACTGGCTGGTTTCCGGCCTTAGATGCAGCTTTTAAGCATTAATAGAGTGGAGGTCAGGGGTCAAAACACAAGCTTATCGTCAGCCTGCTTCATCCATTCCTAAAAATACTTTGTGTAATGCACAGATACCACAGACAGCATGAAGGACCCTCTGTGCTTTACACAATAGCCCAAAACACTCTGCTCGTTTAATCGACAGTCTGGATACTTGGATACATTTACTTGAGTCGGCATGCAGACTTTAGACCAGTGGTGCCCAAAGTGGGTCCTGGAGGGCCGGCGTCCTGCAGGGTTTAGTTCTCCCTGGTTTAACACACCTGGATCAAATGATGGCTCATTAGAGACCTAAGAACATTGACATGCTGAGAAGGTTGTTTCTACCACCAGGGAGAGAACTAAAACAAGTAGGATGCCGGCCCTCCAGGACCGACTTTGTGCACCACTGCTTTAGACTACAGACTTAATTGTTGTAACATTTAGTCACCAGTTGGGGGCAGTCTTGCCAGTTAAATGACAAGGTACTGCGGCATTTGCTTGCATTGATCAAGTTTCTGCATTGGTTTAAAGAGGATGGACATTTGGACTGAAATTGATTCTAAAAAAATATTTTCAAGTTCATCAAAATTCCCATGCATCTTGGATTCAGTTTAAGATTCGACTTTCCTGGGATTCTTTCTGAAATCCAGCTCAACAATGTGCATATATTTGGGGGGAAAAATAAAACCACAAAGTAACAAAAGATTAGTTTATGTGGCGTAAAACTAACTAAGAAATATGAAAAGTTGTTGATAGCAGGGTGGCGATCAACAACTAATTAACCCGTTGATAACTTGTTTCACTTGTCATTCTTTATTGGCATTTCACAAAATTATTTTAAAATGCTGCACAAAAAGCATTTTACTTGAACTAAAATGCACAAGGAGAAGTTGAGTATAAATATGTAATAAAATGTTATAGATCCAGGGTGGCCAGCTGTGGCTCTCAAGAGGAGAACTAATTAATAGATAGTTAATAGGTTCCTGCAGAGCCTGAACATGATGAGGAGAAACTCCCAGCTGTTTAATCAGCAACATGATGAAAACATGAAGGGGTCTGCCTCTTAGTCGACCACCACTGAGTAAATCACATCCCGTTTTTATTTAGCGTTGCATCGATTTGATTTACTCAGGGTTCGACTCAAGTTCCTAATGAATGAATCACATCTAAGTCAAGCTGCTAAAGCGCAAAATCTAGAAGTTAACAACCTAAAACTGCACCAATATCCAGTCCCTCATCTTTAGGAAATGGAACCTTTCAAATATAAGACATGATTTCAAAGTATTTACTAAGCTACCCAGAGTAATAAAACTCTGATCTTTAGACAAAAATAAGTAATCTTGTTTCAAAACAAACCGCTTTTTAAGGTGCCTCAGTCAGATCCTGACACCTATTCACCAATTACACAAATTTATATTCACTTACCAAAGCATTTGCTCAGATTGGTCTGTTTGTCAATAAAGACTTTGGCAGAGACCACGTTTCCGAAAGGCATGAACATCTGCAGAAGATCCTGGTCCCCGAACTCTTGCGGCAGGTGGTAGATGAACAGGTTGGCGCCCTCTGGCCCTACTCCATTTTGTAAGAAACCAGGAACTAAAGTTACATACGACCTTGGAAGCGTTCAACAGTAATCATTCACGTCTAGTTCGGCAAATTGTCCATGCGCTGCGAGTGTGGGAAAGTGTCGTGTGTTCGTTGAGGATGTATTCACCTTCCTTCTGACTGCCAGCCACGCTCTGCTGCAGCAGAGTCTGGCTGTAGAGGGAGGGCAGGGCTGAGGCCGTGTACTGCTGCATCCCTGAGTAGGCCTGTGTCAGTGCATCCATGGAACTTGCAGCCGAGCCGTTGGCCATGGAGGCTCCCAGGCCTCCGTTCATGGCCCCCATACCTGGAAGAGCAAAGCAAACTGATGAGTCGCACACGAAAAAACAAAAACATTTCGTATTCAACGGGTCGCATTTTCTGAGGCGTACGAAGAGGAGACTCACCACTGACACCGCTAGTGAGAGCATTAAGGTTGTTGAGGCCCACAGAGGTGCCAGTAAGACCCTGCAGTGTGCCCAGAGAGGCCAGGGTGTTCATGGCAGCACCAGCACTGGACCCTGCTGTTGAGCCTGCAGGCAGATTTTAAAAATATATACACAGATAATTAGTTTCATGAGGAAAAGTGGTCAATTATTGAAGCACAGTTGAATAGGTGGTGGAATACAGTAACTGAGTTTCCATTAGAAATGTGGGGAAAACAATTTCACCATTGTGATGTTTTCATTAAATAAACTCAATTAAAATCACACGTGGATAAGTTTGTTCATGTGTCATTTTAAAAACATGCTACAACGTTGTCTTTTCGCCTGCAACATCAGGCTGTTGGTCACATGTCTGTGTATTTTCCATTGCAGTTCTGTGAAATACTAATAAATTCACCAAATCCATCCACATAAACTGAAGACCACAAATACACAGGTTGGTCAAGTAACTTTGATCTGAATCCTGCAAATAAGGCTCGACTCATTCTGAGGGTTTGGACCTGCATCTCTCCACTGCTGTAAACTCGTATTGATAAATGAAAAAAAAAATTTAAAAAGCAACTAATCTGAGCTTATGTTTGACTTTAACTCACCTGGACTGGCGAGAGCCCCCAGTGCTGCGCTGCTTGTTGACAGAGCGCTGGTTGAAGTCGGGCTGGCAGAGCTCTGGGCTGCAGCTGCGGCTGCAGCCAATGTGGCCAGGTTTTGCAGCTGAAGAGGATTCACACCTGCTGAAAATACAAAGCAGCAGAGGTAATTACGGATGACGGCCATGTTCAAGCTCCTGTTCCTGCAGGCGTGAGCCTTTTCAAATTCTCTTGCAGCGCAACTTTCTGCCCAGAAAGCAAGCATAAAACAATATATTCTCTCTGCTGCCTTTGATGAATCTAACATTAAGCTACGTCGTTTTAGCAGTCTGCAGACAGAGAGCTTCGGTATGTTAAATTCACGACCTGATGACCTTTAGGTTGTAAACTTGCGAGCTACGTGGGTTCTGAAAACTAACTTTATGAATTACTTAGAACCTTCAGCATCAGAATAAGCTTCATTAGTCAAGAATATGTGCAAATATGTGCAAACAAGGAATCTGACAGCACATAGAGACAACATGGATGTAGAACTTTAGCGGAAATAAAAAAATTAAAAAAAAAATTGTATATGCACCAAATATTTCTGTCATTTACATTTGCAGTAGTGCAACCTGCCAATTTAGTTTCACAGAGGGTTCTTAAATATAACTCAACTTATTTTTGGATTTTTAGTTGTTTTTCCACTCAGTGACCCGTAGAGAACAGTCACATGTTATACATGAAGGGTTTTAGACAACTACTGGTGTCCTTGTTTGTCGTGCGGCTCACACCTGTTAAAACTTTGATATCCTGAAGGAGCAGGTGGTAAATGAGGCAGCCATTTTTTTTGTTTTTGTTTCAATGAACAACAATAAACTAGTTTTAAAAGTTTCTGAATACGTTAAGATGTCAGGCGATAAGTTCCTTCCAACAAGCATGAAACACAAGATTTAGAGTAATATAATTCTTCCAACAACAAAAAAAAAACAAATTGACAAAAAAAAAAAAAGTCAATAGAAGAACATTCAACATCCATGTAGGAAAACTGAGGCACATTTAAGATGTTCTATTCTTAAAATGTAGATTAAATCTAAGGATTATAACTTCTCTAATCATAACCAAATTGTCATGGCCTACAATTAAAGGTGTAAAACCCAAATTGAAAAGCAGCAGGACAACCCAGAGAGCTAATGTGAATTTCTTTCTTCCTCCAGAACCTGCCTCTGTTTTCATCGTTATGAATGTGACAAGTTCTTCCCACAATGTTCTAACTAAAAGAAAAAAAGGTTTCAAGTACTCTGACGGACAGAAACCGCAGAACAACCTCACAGCTTTTACTTCAACACCTTTCCATTATTTTATCATTAGAAGAAAATGTTCTTTTAAGCAGTTAAATGTATCGTCACACAACTGTACATTTTTAATTGATAAATTACTGCTCCAGCAGAAAAACACAGCCTAAGATGTAACACTGGACTTCAAATCGTTTTTTCTTTTTAATACCAACAGCTGCACTACATTAGCTCGACTAATGGAAAAGTGCTGTCAATACGAAGGCCTTGCAGTGTTACAATAACTCCAGGCCATGTGCAATATGCCCCCGATGTAAAGCAGCAATGTGATTTATTATACTTGAACCACATGGTCAGATTGGTGACATAGAAACTTCCCTTTAACAGTCCAGATAATGAGATAAACGGTTTTTAACATCTGATAGTAAAACTCACCTCCTAGCCTCTGAATGCCGTTGAAACTGCTTTGATTAGTGGTTGATGTCGCCTGCTGGAGCAACTGAAAGCAGAAAAAAATAAAATAAAAAAAAAACAGATGCAGATCAAACAGAGCACTCTCTTAACCTCTAAATTATTTAAAATCTATACAAATAGAAACCAGCGGACACATTTCAGCATGAATTTTGCATGTTTTAAAATATTTACTGAGGATTTTTGCCGTCCTATTTAAAATGTATATTTCAGATTGACGAAATAGCAGCCTGCCAGGTTTTTGTCCTCGTTTTCTTGGCAGAAGCCAAACGGCTCGTCTGTTCATGTTCGAGTCACATGGTGTTTGGCTCAGAGTTGCAGAACACTCATGCGAGTCACGTGCCTTTCCTCGTTAGCCAGGACACAAACTGGGAGTGAAGATGTTTTCTAGTCTGAGCCAAGAAAATGGGCGTACGGATCAGACTTGATCGTCGCACGATTTCAAGTTTCTGCATCTATGAGGCTCAGCAGAACAAACCGTCAGCACGGCAGACAATGCATCGGAGCCGAGATGTTGCCCTTTTCACTTTCTGCTTCATTCGTTTCATCAAACTTCATGGAGTTCGCAGAAGGATTTATACTCCTTGATCACTTTTCTCTTTTTAAAACCACAAACACAGATTCTATTGGGATCATATAAGATGGAGCATAATTGTGTAGAAGAAGAAAAATTGAACCATATTTAATATTTTTAAGAACACCCCAAAGTCAAGAATGTCTTCATGTATTTTGGCTCTGCAGAACTACAAACTAAAATTATTTACCATTTGTTCTTGCATGAAAGAGTTAGTTTTGGGTGCATCAACTGTAATTACGCACGTTTTAGGCCGAGTCGTCAAAATCATTTTTCATTTCTGGTCACATGAAGATCCTACATTTTCTCAAAGGCTCAGTTTTGGCAGAATGTGTTGAGAAAAAATATCTATTAAACTGTTAAAATCCTGAATTGAGTCGACTGATAAGACGTGATTTTGAAGTTTTATCTATGTGGCCCTTTGGAGCATGTGTGTCAAAATCGAGGCCAGAGGGCCAAACCTGGTCCGCCACAGCTTTATATGTGGCCCACTACACTCTAAAATTTATGGTAACCGTTGTGCACTTAAATATTTTTATCAATCAAAAAAAAGTAGATTTCATTTTTATAGTGCCAAATTATAATGTGGAAATATGTTCAGTATTTAATTTTAAGAAGTCAGCTATTTATTAATATGCTGTAGCAATTCTTTAATGGGTTTTAATTAACATGTTCTGCCACAACCGACCCTTTTGGGACGTTCATCATCCTAATATGGCTCAAAATGAAAATGGATGCGACACATAAATAGTGGGCCTTGGGTTTGACACGTGGCTTAAATATTAAATTACTCTATAAATTACAAATGCATCAGGTTGCACTAGATTTTATTTGAACTCAAATGCCTGCCACACCTTTTAGGTTTTGTTAACTACATGGTTGCAACCATTTACGGTTGCAGCATGAAAAACTTCAAGGTGTGTACCTACTTCTGGAAGTTATAACTCTGCCGTAGAGGTGTAGACAGTTTGTTCATCGACGCTTACCGCGAGATACTGCGGTGTCAGGGTTCCCAGCCCTGCCAGGTTTCCCCAGGTGGAGGCGTTGTTAAGCTGCTGAATTTGCTGCACGAGCTGCTGCTGCAGGCGCCGCTGCTCCTTGTCCCTCTGGGTGTCGGCAAACTTTACAACCAAAGGTGAAGAACAACCCTGAAGCAGTAAAAAAAGGTAAGAGACGTCAACCTGGTTCCAAAGCGCGCACGCGCACACACACATAAAGACATTAACCTTTTATGTACCAATGCACAGTCACGTGGTGGCAAAGGAATTAGCCTTGATATGCATTGCACACATGCATATCAAAGCTAACAGAGAGGACATCTGCCATGCATTGCTGAGCCAGGCTACATTCCAAAAAGGAGGGCATGGGACGATGGTGCAGACGGTGAATAATTTTAGCACTCTGCAGAGCTAAGCTCAGTCCACAGATATCACACAACATATGGACACAACGTTTAAAACAAAAAAAGAAAGGGAAAAAAAAAAAAAAAAAAACTCAAACATGGATGTCAGCGGACATAACGGAAAAAATGCATTCTATTACACAGAACCTCGCAAACATACAGTCACATATTGTTCAGACAGACGCATGGACAAGGCATGCGGTGCAAAAGTAGTTTTTTTTTTCCCAGAGTTGAGAGCCAGACAGGGACCAGGCTGGATAGGGAAAATGGCTTCTGCACCAGCAGCACCTCCCATGGCAGCTAAGAAAATCGGGGAGGAAATGATATCGGGAAGAAAGGAGAGGAGGGTAGGAAGTGGTGACCCCCGATGGGGCGTAAATTTAATCTAGTAGGAGGAGCGTTCTGTTTGGTTTAGCTCCTAATTAGACCGGGTCCAACACTTCACTGGGGAGCCTCTGACCTAGCTGTCAAATTACTGCTGCTCTACTTCCACAAAGACTCCACCGGCTAATATGAGAGCACAGCCCCAGTTCTTCCAAGAAGTGGGAAAGGGTGGGCTAACTCTATTTTCACCTAAAATTTGATGGGAGTGGGTTATTTTCACCGTGACGAAAAAAAAAAAAAGACAAAAAAAAAAACACCTTTTGATGCCCATCAGAACAGAGGTGTGTTTATTTCAGCTCTAAATAGAAGAGGACAGGCATTTTTATGAACTATAACTAATAAAGTTTTTACTTTTATTCAATTATTCTGCAATAAGCTGCTGCTTTAGATACACCTCATGCCCTACTGAATTCATTTCTGATAGAACAAGCTCTTCATAATTCCAACACAAGGGGGCAGCAAAAATGTACGAGGGGGTAAAAGGGGGGGGGGGTAATGAGAAATAGGTGCTAAGGGGTACAGTACCTCCATAGTTTGAGAGTGATGCATGGTTTTGATTGCATTCTGTGCCATTGCCCTGGTAGCAAATGTGACAAACGCACAGCCTGTAGGGGGGATAACAATAGGAAAGGGGGGGGAGGGAGGGACAAGAAGAAACAAAAACAAGACAAAAAAAGGTTTGGACAACTCGTTATGAACCCCAAAAAACAGACATTACAGTACAGAAAATGGCAACTCCCAAGCACACAGAACCACCCTCACTGGTTAGCACACGGAGAAAGAACACAACGAGGAGAACAGTAAACACTGGTCACATGAGCACAATGATCGACAGATTAAGTTGCCACCAAGAGGCTCGACTATGTGGTGTCAAGGGGAAGACGGTCGACGTGATTGTATCAAAACAAATGCACACATACACACAGTGATTGGCTGAAATAATTCAGGCCTGGAAACAAAAAAAAAACAAAAAAACAACTAATAAAGCTCATTTATAACTGTAGCTACACCGCATACATAGCTGGAAAAAGGTGGGAGATGAAGCTAACTGCGTTAAATAGAGGCTGAAGCCTAGATTTCACTGCAATCCGAGTCCTTATGCAACAGAAAGCTATGCAGAAGATACGAGGTAATTCCAGCCCTTGCAGTGTATGATTAAGGAGGTGGCAAAGGAGCAGCTGAGCTGAGGTGTCTGCCAGCTGAGCCAATGAACACCAGCCGCCAGCAGTTGCCAAGGAGACGGGCCATTGTGCCGGGCGGCGAGTGCAGCAGCCCTTCACCGTGACATGTGGAGGCTTGGAGTCACAGCGACGGGGAGGACAGGAAGGACTCTACTGACGGTATATATATATATTTAAAAAAAAAAAGCTCTCGATTCGTGGATTTTTGGGGTTTAAATTAAATACGGAAGGAGCGCCATGAATTCTTAATGAGAATATCTTCTTGGCTGTTCAGAGGGGTGGCGACTGTAATGCTCAGAGCTGAGTGCCTGCACGCTAAAAGCGCACTTACCTCTGCTCTGACCGTCCGGTCCCCGGAGGATTCGGCATTCTTCGATCTGTCCGAAAGACGAGAACATCATTCTGACCTCGTTCTCGCCGTATTTCTTCGAAACCATTCCCACAAACAGTTTTCTGTCTTCCACTGCTGCGGATGGGATAAAGGAGAGGCGGTTATTCCCGGACAACCGAGGAGCAGTGAAGAGAAACGGTCAATGTCACGCCGCTCCGCCTGAAGCTCCGCTCGCTGTCATTTCTAGCACGTTCCGTGTTTCACTCAAGCGCCCACTTCACAGCTCTGTTTTCCCTCTATTTGAGAGTTTTAAGCCAATTATCTATACTTATCCTTTTTCAAAGCTCTTCCTCACAACAAACAGAAAATGCACACTGTGGTGTTTAATGAGTTTAGTCCAAATATGGAGGTTTTCAGCAAAGACTAAAGTTGACCAATTCAGTTACAGGAATCGATGAGCTTTGATAATAAGCGCCGCCAGCACTCGGTAGTAATATGCCATGAATAACAGCATCATAAGGTGACAGTACATTTTTTTTTGGCAAAGCTTTTGACACAGGGATGTTTGGTTCAGTGCAAACGGATAATTTACACAAAGCCTTTAAGCCACTGCAGCTATTTTAAAAACAAACATGGATTGTTCATCATAAAGCTGGTGATATCCGCCCTTCTTAAACTGAATAAATTGCTTTGTGACAGGATCACCTCTCTGATGTTTGCATTTATTTTGCTCAGACCGCTTTGAACTTATACACAGTTCATCACTGGGGTGCAGTGGCAGCCTGTAGCTAAAGCTATATCATGTCTTCTGGACCGGTACCAAGTACAGTCTGAATTTAACAACATTCTTTAGAAAGCCGAGCGGTAAATCTTCAACATAGCGCTGCACGATAAATCGACTTTATAAATTCATCGGATTTTCTGGTTTTGAAGATTTAATTGTTGAAAAATCTGGATTTTTTTTTTTTCTTACCAAAGCACTTCTTTGGTTTCCAGAGAGGCGTCACCCGAGAACCACCATCTACTTTTTTTTTTTATTTTTTTTTTTAGAAGCGTGTTTTATAGCCATTAGTCAAATAACAGAATAAATTATTTAAACAAAAGCATGTTTTAGATATTCCTTTAATTTTTTTTTTTAAGGAAAAAAATTTGAATCGGAAATCAAATTTTGGATTTAAATAAAATATTCAGAGATTTTTTGTTTTGTTAGATGATTTGTCAGCACTAAGAAAACACTGGTGTACATCATGGCAACTACAATGCTAGAAATTTCAGCAGTAATACATTAACGGGTCGTTTCCTTATCAAGACTGTAGATGAATCTCTATTCAACACCAACACATCCAAACCCCAAACTGAATCTAAACAAAACAGACCGAGCTTAAGATTTTAGAAACCTTTACTGCAACTGCAGTCCTCTGGTACCAACATCCTTCAACTTTTGAATGCACCCCTGCTCCATCACACCTGAGTCAAATGAATCGGTGATGACATGCTAAGGAGGTAATTCAGCCTTTTGATTGAAGCGTGTTGGAGCAGGTATGCATCCAAAAGTGGCGGTAGGGTGGAAATTGAGGACTAGAGTTGCAGACCTTTGCTTTATTGCATGTGTGAAAAACAAACGGGCAGTTTAAACGCTTTGTTGGCAACGAGTGACATGAGAATCACAACCACAATCCATAAACAGCCCAACCTCAGACTGAAGTCATTCTAATCTGATTTGCAGTTTTCTGTAAAACAGCTTTTAGTTTCAATTTTACAATTCAATTTTAGCTTACAATTTTTTTTCCATTCACAGCAACTAGTAAATTTAAAAAAATGAATGAAAATGAATTTTAAAAAAAAGATAAAGGGGCAAAATTCAATGCATGACTGGATGTCCCTTTTCCACTCCATTTTGTGTCTGTGTTGACAACAGTAATGGGCATAATTAGAAGAAACTAAATGTAGAATGAAGTTATTTTTCCTGTCATAGAACGCATATCCATAAGGTGGCCACAGAATTCATTTTGAAACTGAAAATGTCAAATTTCTCACTTTTCTTTTCCTCCATTGTTTCTTTAAAATGTGGCATCTTTTCCTCTAATTCTGTGGGCACTAATGGGTTTCACTTTACAGTTTCCAGACAGGAACGAGGAGGGGGAAGCGATTCACACCCATCACAGCTGGCACTGCAGACTGACACGGTGCACCCGCTCCAACCACTGAACCATGAGTCCCTTTCTTCTTTTTTTCTTTTATTTTTAAAGTCAAAATATATCCCTTTATCAAATCCTTTGGGTTTTGTTTCAAAAGCAGCCACCTACCACTTGTTTTCTCACTGTCAGCAGGTTTCATCTGGATAGGATGATGCATCTGTGGGAAACAAAAAGAAATGATTAAGACTCACCCAGTCAACATAAACCATCTCATCACATCAGTCTCTTAAACTTCACACACCTTCAATCCAGCATCTGTCACTTAAAGACCATAATATACCAGTTTGAGATGCTGGGCAGGTGTCAAAGCTGCTGGTGGATATCAAATCTCCAGTATGCAATTTCACTTCAGGCTGAATATATCGATTCTTCCTCCTCACTTCCTTCTTCTTCTTCAGAACAATTTGGAGACGTTGACAAGCTGGCTAACTTTAGCAGGCGTTTAATAACTTTTTGATCTTAAAATACTTCCTTCACACCATCTGATCCTGTCGAACAAGGAGTGGCAAATCCTGGATGTGAGCAACCTAATTTTAGCCAGAACGACATCTCTGAACACGCTGCTCTTTCTCAATCTTCTTATAAAAAGAAGAAGTGGAGGCAGGATACATTAACCCAATAAGATTGTCTACAAACCACGAAACATGAAAGAAGCCTGAGACGCCCGAGCACGTCGTACTTGAGAAATAGCGGGTTTGTTTTTGACGAGGGACGCGACAGATGGCCCGCTCAGCGTGGGGACCAGCTAGCGCCAACGACCAAGCAGAGAGCAGCAGCGGAGGGGAGAGATAACAGAGGAACTGATACGAGCCTTTCCACCGCGACACAAAGCTAACTCAGTCACACCTGCAGAAATGCCAGTAACAGTAGGACCAGGGATTGGCATTTGAAGCGCACCATTTGAAATGTCGAGCTGATGGATGGTCTTCCAGCGAAGAGAACCACCGCTATACACTCGGCCTCGACACTCATTCATCACCTCGGTTCAATACGCGGCTATGAGCTCGCTGAAAAGTGGCTCCCCTCACTTTTCGGCGAGCTACGGTTTTAATCGACACCTGGACTTGTCTGGTATGGATTTAATTGACTGGAAGGCGTCATTTAGAGCGACCAGCGGCCGTGACGGATTTGTAGCTTTAACAAGCCCTTGCTCCAGTTGAGCGCGCTGCAATCTCGCTGGACAAATCGGATGAAATATGGCACCACTCAGCCGAGCTGCTCTATACTTTTAAGGCTTCAACTCGGAGTTAGAAATGTACACAGACATCAATGATTCATAAAGTGAAGCCTTTAATAACTTCAGCGTATCTGCAGGGTTCCGCAAGTCAAATGTAAGACTTTTGTAAAGACATTTTCAATGGCACCATGAATGGAAATTTAAGGGAAAAAAACAAACATTTTGCACAGAATGCACCTAGCTTCATATGAGCTGGGAGCAGAAGTGAGCCAACGGCGAAAACAGAAATACATTTGCACTTAAAAACGGCTCGACACACAGGAGGCGACATCACTCCCTCTCCATCAATTTCTTGTGAAATTTTGAGCCCTTACACATAGACGAGGACACGCAAGTTTGTGACGCGACTCAAGTTGAAAAATATTAAACTTCTGTTACTATTGACGCTTTTGAATCCCGAGTGGCGACGACTTTTGCTTGTCCCCGTCATTCCCCGTGCGTCAAGCCCATCACCCACCGACTGACACAAAGAGCTAGCTAGTTAGCGAGCAAGGGTATAATAGCTGCTAGTTAGCGGTAGCCAACTTCAAAACACAGAACGCAATGAAGATGTCGGCGCACAACTAAAAATTTTTACCTGACAAAAAGTCCTACAAGAAAAAAATATATATAAATGCATGTATAAGGTTAAATAATCCTGCCACAACAAAAATTAAAACCCAACGTGTTTAAGGTCAACTTGCATTATTTTATTGAATTTAGGACTTTATAAAGGATGCCCAGACACCATGAACATGCATGGTGTCATGCAAATCAAACAATGTGTCCTGCTGAAGAATCAACAGCCAAAGGCTCTTTGAATCCCACCTGAATGTGTCTGTGTTTAACTCATCGGTTCAAGTGTATTGAAGTTCAGGACAGTCCTGGTTTCAATGTTACTGATAGAGGGGCTTGATATTTTTCCAGGGCCAGACAGGCCTTCAGTGAACCGAGAGCTCATTACTGGCCAGTGTGCAGCTCCCAGCCTGCACCAGGGATATGGGGGTGGGGTGGGGGCTGGGGCAGCTAAAAGCATCCCATGCTGTGCTTACTCACCCCACTTAAGGTCTTTATGTTGTGCAGTGCATTCTGGGCCTCCAGTGCAGCTTTTCTTGTATAAAAAGTTACAAAACAGCATCCTGCAGAGTGGAAAAAAACAAGAGGGGCAAACAATGGGAGCGGAGAAGGAGACAGAAACGATGTTAAAATGCAGGAGGAAAAAAAACAACAACAATATATTAAATGAGATAAAGCATGCTGTAAAATATAATGCACGCAGAAAAGGATGGTGACAGAAATCAGCAAACATTCAGATCAGCCCCGACCTGGGGTGGGATAGCTGGAACTCAAAAATCCAATCTTATAACAGTGAAGGTACCACGCCCAAACATAACCAGGCTACAGTAAGATCCCCAGAGTGGTGGAACAACTCAGAGTTAGCCATGTTCAGTCAGTGAGATGTAAAAATAAAAATAAAATGGATTAAAAAAGCTGTTTGAAAAGAAACTACGGTTCACATGACATGTCCGTGATTCATTAAGGCTGTAAAGTAAAACGTTTAGCAGACAACAGGAAGGTAATGTTACAGTTTTATATTTTTGAGTATTGGATATGGGAGTGGAAGTACATAGCCTTTTGTAAGTGTCAGATTTCACAAACTTTTCGATCAGATTTTGTCATGTTTGCTCAGGTCTAAAGACAGAAAGACAAATTAAATTAATTATTCCTCTGAACTTCTGCACTAAGCCAATAAATATGGCTGCAAAAGTAGGCCTAGGTTTTATAACGATACATTTTCACCCGTTTTTATATAAAACATTTGACTTATTTTTAAATTGTGACTATTAAAGGAAACCTTTTGCAATTCCGTCATTTATTCATGTAGAGACTTCAAAATAATAAGTTGGTCTATGTCTTGGCAGGTACTGCAGCCATCTTGGATACGAGTTATCTGTAGTACCTGGATTCTCCACCAGAGGGTAAAAAAACAGGATTGGATACAGCCAGTTGTTGGGGAAATAATCAACTTCATTATTGAGATCGAGGGCTCACAAATCAAAATTAATGCCTTCAGTGTTGTGGGTTAAAATATATTCAAAACTGGAATAACAGGAAATGCCAGCGGTGGTACGGCTCCCATGCTTATAATGTGATGTGATGTTGTAGGCAACAACAGTGACACCGTGCAAAACAAGTTGGATAGGACTGACATGTCCAGAGAGATGACCAGTGGTGGAAAGCCGTCAGGAGACACCGATTCACAATTGGCGAGTCCAAACAGCACCGGCGAGCCGGAGCAGAACAACCAACGCGTTTGTCCCGAGCATTTCAGCGTTATGCAAGAATCAAATCCAAGAAGTGTGCACAAGGCATGAAAAGAGCACAAAGAACCCAAAAAGAGAACAAGCAAGAAGATAGATGATGGGGGAGGGGAATGAAAAATGAAGAGCGGGGTGAGAAATAAGAAAAAAAAAAAAAGCCTCTCATCCTTCCGTCCCAGTAGACCGCCAGTGGCGTTCCAGCCCGTCAGTTTCACTGGGTTGGGGAAGTGGAGCACTGCAGCGTCTCTGACCTACATAGTGTGTATTATTCTGTTACTGGAGCTCCCAGGCTGTGGGGAGGGCTGTTGAACTCTAATATGCATCAAGCTGCACTCTTTCACAACCAGCTGAGAGCTCCCTTTCTCTTCTGCTTAGCCTGGACTCCAATTTGTCGGAGCCAAATAAACCTCCCAGAAAGGCATGAGAGTCAGATGATTTTTCATGATCTGTGCACAATGTGACCTAAAAGCCATCGGCAACCTGACGGCCCTCGATGGATCAGTAGACAAACAGAATCTACGCTGGCTGCTAAAGTAGTTTATCTGCAGGATCTGTTCAGATTTAGTCACATTGCAACAAACTAAGGTGTTTTACTGGGATTTTAAGTGATGGACCAATGATAAGTAATGAATTTGAAGGTTTTTTTGTAGAGACAAATTGACACAGATTCCTCAATTGGATGTAGAATGGCGCATTGATGAGGCTAATCTAATATGATTTGATCTAAACCAGGGGTTTCCAACCCCATTAGACAGTCTCTGGTTTGAATAAAAACCACTAAAATTTGTAGTCGAAACGTGACAAGATATGAAAATGTCCGAGGGGCAGTACTTTAGTGAAGGCATAATCAATTTCCTAATAGGGAAAAAATATGACAAGGTAGAAAAATGAGTGGTTGAGTTCATAGCTTTTCATACATAATGGCAGATGACACTCGGCCATTATTATTTGGTTCAAATTGTTATGGCTTTACACAAGAGTACAAGGAGTGTTTGTGTTCAGTTTTATCACTGGAGGAAATTTATCTCGCAGTTTAGGTGAGCCAAAGGCAGCTATAATCAGGCCAGATTATCCATCAGAATAAATTTACATGTCATTATGTCAATAGACCATCACAGCTGACAGAGGAAGGGAGGGGCCGATCTTAAAAGGAGGTCTTTGAACTCTCCCGACAAACAGCACTGAGGAGTCTATGTTTTCACGTTCAAGGAGAAAAACGAGCTCCGTGGGGTTTCACTGGTTTTCGGGCAGAGGCACCGCCTGTAAATTTGGAAAGGTGTAAAAAATTTGGATCATTCAAATGAACCACAGAGACATGGAAAGATATGCAATATGTATAAAGAAAAAAACCTTAGTCATCTAAGAAGGAGAAAACTGCAGGGCATTGTAGTTCATAATCAGAAATCTTAATCTTGAATCTCAAGCTTCCCAAACTAAAATGATGAATTTTTGCCTTCATCCATAGCAACTGGCCGACCAATCAAATTCAGGAGAATTTCTATTTATTGTAATATAAAATAAAGTCAATGCTGCCTGCTGGTAAAAAAAATAAAAATCAAAGAGACAACCATTACTGTCCATAAAGGTTGTTAAACTTGTACAGAACAACTGACACGATGACAACTACAGTCGATGTGACCAGGTTTCAGCTGAAGGCCATTTGTTGTGTTTTTTCCACCAAGGTTGTGTGTAAAGCGCACTAACCACTATGAATCATTCCACTGAGTCACTGTAGTGCAATCAAAAAAAAACTTCTAGAATGAAAAGCATGACCAAAAAAAACTAATGTTTTCTTATAGGTATGTTAAATATGGACACTGTTTAATAGTACTTAAACAAAATACAAATGTAGATTTTAAATTGAGAAAAAAAAGTTCCTCTGAAGCAATTTGCATTGGTTATTCAGGTTTGCGTACTTGTAGAAAATTATGTGTGTAAGCAAATTAGGTCCGGAGGTTTGAGAAGTTTGGAAACATTCAACCACAGCAGAAACGATCGTGTTCCTCTGGAGCTACACCTGCAACATTTGGTGTCATTTTATAGCTCAAAGTGACCAGACAATAATTAGTTAAGCTGGATAATCAAAAGTTGCACGGGGGAAAAAAAAAATGATTCTAGACTTTAGCTTTTAGACAGCAGGTCATGGCTTAGTAAGATGCAGAACGAAAACCTCAAATGAAGCTGAACAAATGATTCCAGGCAGACACCACTGGTTGTAATCTGTTGATCAAAGGTCAACCGTTTGCAGGAAGACATTAGACAAAGGACAGTATTAGAAGACCACACATTTAAATACTGCAACCTCCTTTGGTGCTTAAAACCTAAAGAACATCCCTAGATGCTCTAGGTATTTGTCTCTGTCAGTCAAGTTGGATGAATATAGGGAAAAAAAGCCCTAATATTACAATTTATCAAGATTTTACTGTACCGTCTTACTGTGACTGGCTAACTATGCAATTATGTTTTTCTTCTTGCATAAAAAACCCAAAACACACACGCTTGTGGTCATACCTTTACTCTGAGGAGGATTCTGAGTCCGGTCACGGAGGATGTTGATCTGGTACACGGGTCCAAAGGGCTCAAAAAGTTCTTTTAGTTCCGTTTCCGTCCAGGACCGGGGAATCTGTCCCACAAACATTTTGATTGCGTCGGGATCGGGCTGGTCCATGTGCTCCAGTGACCCATTCATCTTGCTCCCGTTGCCGTTGCTAGGAGTAACAAAAACAAAAGTGTCGATATCAGACTGGGCTTCATGCAAAACTCGCAAAGTTTCAGTTGCTATTTTTAGTTGCCACAAAACACAAAACTGTTTTGCTGTCCAGCTTCGGATGGCAACTACTACGTAGAAACTGAAACGCGACGCATTTCCAGTGACTTCATGGAAGGGTTGCCGCAGACAACAGCTTCATCTCGAGTTTGCGTAAGAGCATCCACTTCCTCCCAGCTTAAAGTTTCCTGCCTCTCAGGAAGCCCAAGGACTATTATCTGCTTCAAAGT